TAGTAAATTTCCATGAGAAATTTAGTATACATAGGATCTTATAACAGCTTGCTTGATCTTATATTCGATTGTTCGACGAGATTTTGTATAGATTATTAACTTTCTTATACAGATTAATCATCATGCATGTTTATACCCAACATGTTCGATTGAAAGGACATAGTTGTATTATTTGTTTTTTTGGACGGACTCATGATTTTGCATCTTTTAGTGTAGTTTAGCACAACTATTTTGTTACTTTAAACACGTTGAAAGACGGAACTTTAGTTGATTAAGAATATATTGAGTTTATAGTAATTAGAATGAATAGCTCATTATTATACATGTAGTCAATCTTTTACTTTGACACGAATTACTTTCGCAAATTAGAGAAAACCTAAAAAGTATTACAAAAAAACATTGCAAGTACTTTTTGGTTTGTATGAATCACATGCAAAATTTTTGTTCTACGCTTGATTTGTTTAATTTGATTCTATAGTGCGATGTTAGAATTTAATTTTGATTCTATGGGGAAAAACGACATTCATTATTATTCTTTTAATAATTTGTCATGTTGGATGATGAAAAGTGACAACGAAAAGTTACAAACGATTCACCGTATAATTCAAAATAAAAATCGACAGTAAAAAGGTTAGAATAGATAATTAGTATCACAATAGAATTGCATGGTGAAGAAATATATATCAATCAACTACAGATACAGTATGGTTGTTAGTCTTTGTAGAGATATTTGGTACACTATCTGATAATGTTACTTGTCATTAATTTACAGAGCGTATTAACTTATATAGTGAAAAGTGATGTGAGAAAGAAAAAAGATATGATAGTTTAATAACTATATACTACATTTTCGATTCAAAATTATTAATTTATCCTTGCGATGAAGTTTAAAACTTCGATAACCTTGAATGTCGATGTCACAGACAATGAAAAGAATTTGACTCATTACGTCATGTGTTAGATGCCAACAATCATATTGAGATACAGTTTATTCTATTCACCAAAGGTAGAGACACTATACATTACTTTTCTTCAGATAAACAAATAAGATCTAATAAATAAAATATATTCACTAGCTAATACGTCCCTATAATATGTACATATTCCTAGTTAAATGCATAAATTATTTACTTTTTTGCTAGCAAATGATAAAGAGCGTATCTCTTTTTTTTTCTGACGCATAAATATTTATAGAAGCATTCACCTTCTGAATAAGAAGGGAACATTGTACTTCATTGTACGTTCAACTTGAACCAGTTCCTGAGCTGCTTATCTTAATAAAAAACCAGCTACCATCACGATTTAATTGGTTAATATTAACAGTTCTCGAGTCACTTAACCGTTAATACGAAGTTTTAATGTTTCTGCTCGTACTTATGTAGCTTAAACTTACGTGATAGAGATGATAACAACAGTGTTCCAAGAATATAACTAAAATTGATATAACTCGACCGAATATTTTTCGAAGTTGAAAAATATGAATCTGTAAGAAGTTTGTCAAACATTCTGAATGAGATTTTTCTAGTCACGGGAGGTCTATTTTCGATGCTTTAGTCAAGTTTTATAAAAGATAATTATTTTTTTGAGATTAAAATGTCCTACTACAGGGAGCGTCAAATAAGAGAAGGATCTGTATCATTTGTTACCAACTAAGTGCATAACTCGCGTTTCTAACTAAATATATGTACGTATTATATTTATATATTTACTTTAGACAAGCAAATAGTAAATATTTTATTATAGTCGACTTAGTTTGACTAACCTTTCAAATGCTAATACTATGAAATAATTATTTCGACTTCGATATTTCTTATTTCAACTAGTACTGACTGGTCTCATTATCGTATCATCAAAATAGACACTTGCAGAAAGTGAACAAACAATTTCGTTTCGCTTTCTTGCCATTACAACCTATTTTTTTTATATTTGTAGTATATTTTCTTTCGTTGTTGTTATATCTTAATTCTCTTAAGAGATGCTGTTTTTGACTTTTCAACATAATTGATTGGATCTTTTTTTTAATTATAATTAGTTAATAATCACGATAATGACAGATAGATGTTTTTAGGAAAGCACTGGAGGCCTATTGAAATGTATAGATTTCTTTCGCGAGTTTTAAAAATTTTAACTTCGACGTGGATAAATAATCTATATGTCGAACCGATTAATGATTATCAATTACATAAATTCTTTTCTTTCTTCTTTCTACGATCAATAACAAACAATATCACTCGTCAAGTTTCTCATTCATGGTGTTTGAAATGAGTGAGGAACCAATGATTATAGTTTATAATTTTGGAATAGCTTCGAATATATATATTTTCTGACAAACATGAACAGAATCTCTGCACTATAAATACGTAGCAGTCATATTCCTTACATGTTTTCGCATAGTCTTCTTTTCAAGTCTTTTATTAAATAATATCTTAGAGAAAAAAGAAACTTTCAAGCTCCTATGTTATTTAATTGCTAGTTCAAATGACAACCTAACTTTTCTAGCTTTTGTTTTATCGTGTATAAATGACTTATCACTTGGAATTTATTTTTACGATTTTTGGAGAGTGAAGCCAAAACCTTCATAGAATTTTGAATTTAAAAAGTTTAACCGAATCCAATGCAAATTTTAAGATTGCTTTTGAAAATTTGCATTCAACAAAGTCCGCATGATTTATTATCTGAACAGCGCAATAGATAAACGAGACAACTTAGGAATTTCTGTGAATTAGCACTGAAGTAACAAATATGCATTAAATTTTTGTTGGATCTTCTAAATTTTGTTAACTAGCGAACTAAAACTCCGGAACCCCTGAAAAAATTTGACTGAAATCGAAATGATGAAAATCACAAATTTTGGGTGTGGGTATGGATGTTTGAGTGCAGCTCTCCTGTTAAGTCACACGAACGCCCATATCGACATCCACACTCATTCGCACTGATAGGCATGGTGTCAGTGCTCGGTAGGTTTTCTGATTACTGTCGTGCTTTGAATTCGGATCAGATAGAACTTGTGTTCACTGGTATGCACTGGTCAACGGGCGAGAGTTTCTCGAGTTCACTGTCGCTTATTGCTTTGCGGCTGAATTTCGTTCACTCATACATTTTGTGTTGATGCATGAAAGAACACTGGCTGTCTATATCCTTATCCACAAGTTTTGCGGTGGAAAGATTTTCGGCTTCACTGCTAAACATTTCTATGTTACGCAACGATTTTATCGTCGCTGTTAACGATCCACTCATCCTTATCGACGGACAAATTTTCGAAATATGAAAGCATTGTCTTAACTCCTTATTTTATGAAATTACCAGTAACATTATCTTGATAATTCGATCTCAATATCGAAAATCACAAAAAGTCATCAATAGATAGGACACAAACATAGAAAGCTGATCATATGAAATGCAGACAAAATTCTAGAATAAAAAACAATAAAATTAATAAATATCTGTGCGATGGATGTAGAAAAGTAAACTGAGTAGACCTCCGCTGGAGAAAAAGTCATCAATCGATCAGATAAATGGAAGTCCATCATGGCTATCGATTTCATTTCTGTCTCAATTCTTTGTAATTAATATTCTACTCATACATCCGTTATGCATATGACGTTTAGAAAACTCGAAGATCTGTTTAGAGATCATCGCAATCAGTTACTTACCAGGATGCAATAATCAAAATAATATATTCCAACAAAATTTGAATGAAAATAGTTTGCAACTTGGTTGGATTTTATGCATGCGAGACATGTCGTTTGTTTATCAAAGGGCTTCTTTTGTTACTTGTGCAGTATAAAACGGCTTTTTTTTTTCTTCTTTCTCCCTTGATCTTTTTTCGTTCTTTTGAAATTTTTGTCAATCACGCGCTGTCTTGACAAGCACTGCTCATGTCAACAGTCTAATATTCAATACGGAGAGTAGACAAACAATGATGGCAAGCAAAAAAAAAAACATATTCGTAAAAGAAAATACATTTTCAACGGACTACACGCATCAATATTCATTTGTATATGATGTAAAGTGGTTGGCATTGTTCAATAACAGACTATGGCAAACAATGATAGGTTTCCTTCAGTATCAATTAAAGAGATGAAACTTACATTAGTATGAAGTTGAGACAAATTTTCAGAGAAATTATATGAAAATTGATAATTTTCAATATAGTAATTATTCTTTGAATTGCATAAATATTTTAGAAAATCAGATGATATGCATCTTATTTTTCCAAAACAAGAAAGAAAAAAACTGGAAAACTTTTTGCTTGAGGTTTATTTGAACATGAACTTCGGAAAAGTAATTTATATTACGAAAAGAGTATTTTTAAAAAAATCGATTTAATTATTTTGCAACATAATGTATAGGAGAACAATTCATATTTCAAGATAATCCAAAATGAATAAAATAAATCGAAATTGAAGACATATTGTTCTAAATTCTAGTGAGTTTAACTCAAATCTTATTGTACGCACTCTGTTAGCTGCTGGAGAATAAAAAGAGGTTTTTTAATGCAAGTAGCAATATAGACGTATCCTGCAATTTTTTCTTTCGGTGTTGTTTCAAAATCAAAAGAAGCTGATTTGGATGAAATCGAGATTGAAGCGAAACATGAACGACTTTTTCATACGTCAAACAGACAGACATAGTTACATGTAGAAATCGAATACAAATTTATTTCATTTGGCCTAAAATTTCTCATCATGTATTGTTGTCATTGTGTATTATCATCATCAAATGCATTTTTTTCTCCTGTGATTATCATATACTAATTAGGATTTAACTTTTGAACTAATTAATCTGTATCATAATTCATATAAATAGTCATTTTCTTTTAGACATATAAGAGGTTCATGTTGATTTAGGGTGTGGGATATGGGTGTAAGTGTGGGCGTGGGGATGGAGTGTTTGACGAGATGAATGACAAACACCCACACCATTTATAGATAATCAATTAAACAAGACATTTATATTTGATTTTCTAAATAAATGAGAATGAGAACAATTAAATAATATTAATTAATAATCATATTTATTAATGAACAAATTTTTGTCAAAGAAGATCCATTTAAAATATGAACTTTCTTAGAATATTTTTAATAAAAATACAATAAAACAAAATATTTTTCTTTGATCAACATTAATTCAAAAAGAAAATAAAATGTTGATTATTCAAAAAAAAACACAAGTGAAGTGAATAAATCTTATGATACTGTATTTTTCTTACATTGAAAGCACTTTTTTCCACATAAATATTGATCATAAAAGTTCGTAATCAAATCGGTAAAAACTTTGATTTGTATCTCTGAAGAATATTGATTAGAATAATTAAGATAATAATCAATACTATTGAACCAAGAACACCAGCAAAAACACGCCTAATACATAAAATCAATATAATAATATTAAATCTATTATTCAATTTACCATCGAGCAAGAGAAAGACCAAAAACAATCAAAGAGATAAGAAAGAATGAAGAGATTATATAAAGAACAGCAAACCATCGATATTTAGCTGTTATTTCACCTAATTTTTTAGCCATTGGAATTGGAAATCGCATAAATGGTATTGGAAACCAAATTAAAATTTCTTTTAATTATTCATATATAGAATATTAAATATAAATATTGAAGATATATCTTACCAATAATATTGAAAAAAATATGACAAAATGTTATTTGTAATGGATTTCTTAAATCTTTCTCACTAGTTACAGTTAATACAGCCATAATACCAGTTATTGTTGTACTTATATTTGAATCTAATGTAAATGGATAAACTCTCTCAATTATTATTATATCAAGACCAACTAATGGTGTTAATGTTGATGTAAATATTGAACTACTTTGAACTAATATTTCTCACTATTCCTTTAAGTAATGATTGAAGAATTTTAACAAGTGATAAAAGACAAAGACAAATTATTGAACTAATCAATAAAACAAGTCCACTAAGCCAATCAGCCCATTGAACTTTAGCAAATAAGAATGAACAATATGTATCTGAAACTTGAATAAATATATCATTATAAGTTACATTTTTAAATGAACAATATCGTTTTAATAAAGATATATTTGAACTAGCATTACTCAGTGCTATACTTTGAATTGCTTTTTTTTTATCAAGCTAACAAACAACAAAAATTCATTTGTATTAGAAAATTTTATCTAAAATAACATATTTGAACAATTCGTTCTGTTAATGATTTTGTTATAACAGTATGAAACTGGGGATTAGAATTGGGATTTCGTTTTAAGTTTATTAATTTTATTATTGAGTTAGTTAAATGGTATAACATATCTAATTTTTTTTTTCAATTAAAATATATTCAAAAATATAAATCTTTATTTACTTGAAACTATTTAAATTGATAATAAAAATAAGTAGTGTTAACCAATTAAACATATCATGAACAGTTGCACCACCAAATGCAAGACAAAATTCTTCACATTTTCCTCAAAACAAAACAAAATAAATTTTGATTTAGTCTTGTTAATGAAAAAATACAAACTGATTGAGTTAAAGCAACTAATGTGTTGGTTACAGATGTACGTTTTAAATAGAAATAGATATTGAATGTTTATCTCTGATGAGCATTTATTAATAGAATATACCTATGTTTGCTCCTAAAAAATAATAGAAATAATAAATTTTATTTAGATTTATTTAAATTTGATTTTACCTACAATGATTGGTATTGCTCATTTAACAGGCAAAGCTAAGATATTTTTTAAAATTAAAATATTATTTCTAAATGAATGAAAACTCACTGGAAGATGAAACCATTGATATAACAATTGATGTTGATGTTGATGAACTTTGAACAAGAACTGTTATTAATAAATCAATCATTAATTCAGCAATAGGATTTGAAAGAATTGTTCCTTCAGCAAAAAATTTACCTGTTATCATACCTAATGAAAAATATTTATTAATAAAGAATTTTTTTTTTGTTTTGAAAATAATGTTTAACCTTCAATAAGTCGAAAAGTTGAACTCATTAAATCAAGTGAACAAACAAATAAATATAATAAAGCAAGTTAACACAATTAATCTTAATATTGAGATAATGATGAATTTAATCCGAGGTTTGCTATTCATATCTAAATGAACAAAATAGATTGAGAAAACAATAAATTGTTTTCAGTAACTTTCCATTTGTGATTTTCATTAGGATTTTCAGCTTGAGAAAGAGTGTTACGATTGAAAATTTTGTTAGATTTAGCTCTCATTTTTATTTTAATATTAATATAAAAATAATTTTCGTTTCTTTATATAATTTTCTTATGACTTGAGAAGTCATGATGAATTTTATTGACTAATTTGAATATCATCAATTGATCACGCATATTACGCATGTGTTTCTTCCTCGTTCTAAATACACATTTTTTTGTAACTGATAAGAGTTATTCAAACATATGACAAAATTACTTCTAACATCAAGCATATCTACTTTTCTTTATTAAAATAGTTAACAACAATGCGTGAAAAATTTTCTATTTTTTATGATATTCAAGTACGAAATGTGAGTGTGAGTTTGGGTATAACTGTAGGTCTTCTACTCAATGGCATCCACACCCACACCCAAGATATGCATATTGACATGCTCATTTTAATTTAGTAATGTTTTCAATTACAGTCTTTATTTTTATCATTAGTTAAACTTATTTGACAAGCATACTGATTCATAAATTTAGAAATTTGTTGAAGAACAATATCAATTCGCTGAAATTTATATTCTAATGTGAAATCTTTTCCACAATATTTGAAGATCATTGGATATCTTTATGAAATAAACCATTGATTGTCAAACTAATGACAATATTTAAAGCCGAACAGTTAATATTGAATAAAGGCAGAGTACTCTCACAAAGTGATGTGAATTCTTTTGTTGAAATCTTCAAAATTTCTACAGAAGAGAAAAGTTCATTGTAACGAGAATCCAAACATTTTTAATTATATTTGATTTTTTATTGAGAAAGTGTCTTTTAAAAAGTTTTTCAATAGATGATTAAATTTGTTCGTATGTTCCACTTTCAACAACTAACAACACGAAAAAAGTAATGCGCCTTTATTAGAGTCTTCACAAATCAATTTTCCAATGTTAGTTTTGACATGGAGACGTTTTATATGAGTTTCTAGAAAATTGAACAAGGAATATAATGATTAAAAATTCAACGCCAACGATCAAATATTAACGAAGATATTTATAAAATAGCTGAAAAGTACATATATCAGCAGTGTCACATACCCAAAAAATCAGGAATGCTGGAGCAGTAGAGAGAAATCTAGGATATGTTAAACTAAACATGTTGATCTCACGGAAACTTCTGCATTAAATTTTGTTAAAAATGGTTCCAAAATAATTACTCAGAATAAAAAAAAGTTAAAAGAAAAACATCGCAATATTCTTGAAGAATTCTGTGAAGAATAAAATTCGTCTTTTTATGACGTAAAATAAATCGTCACTTTATCATCATTAAATTTTTTTTGCTATATTTTTACTAAAATTATCTTGAAGTTATACGTTTTGTCATTACAATTTCAAAACTTGAAGCGTACAACATTTCATCATTCAAATATTTTTTTTTCATTATTCATTTACTTTTCATATTTTTCTGCACAACCATGAATATGAACAATGATTATCTACTCGCTTTTCGTTTTTTACATCAACAACAAAAAGAAAAGGTTTCATATTATCAAGTTTCATGTGAAACAAAAAGTGGCAAAAAACAATATAAATTGTCTTGTTTGTTTTTTTTTTCTTTTGATAATAAATATAAAAAGACGATTATTTTTCATCGATGAACAATTCATTCAATTAATCAATGCGAAATATTTCTGTAATGTCTAATTAATAAAATAAGAAACAATAAAAAGCAAAGTAGATTTACATGATCGATTCTGTTTTAATGTTACACAACTTGATTATACTGATTTTCTTATTACGTGATATTTATATTTCAATCAATAACTTGTTATTCGATGTTTTTCTTTATATTTTATAGAAAAAAAAAACTTTTCTAAAACTTCATTCATGTTGTTATCTACAACTTGACTTGAACTTTGTCGTTCTTATAAAAATAATTTCAATCAAATTTATTCAATGACTTTTACCTTACATGAAATGCACTACTCACAATAAACTATGTGGAAAGTATTTCAATAATTGTCTATACAAATCCTGTGAAATTCTACAATATAATCTAATCAATTATTTTGTTCAATCTGAATAAGAAATCTACTATTCATCTATCTACCAAGACTTTCTTATGAAAACTAAATTAGTTTTTTCAAATTATTGTCAATAACCAAGATAAAGTTTATCATTTCAATATCAAACTAGATTTTCTCATTTGTTTTAGAAAGATCAAGATTAATGTCTTGATAATTAAAATCAAATTAAATCTTGTACAAATATCAATGATTTTGCTCAATATTTATGTCACTATTTATTTTTAGGCTAAATCACATTTATTTTTCTAGGACAATTTTGAAAATCTAATTATTTAATTAGATTCGGTAATGCATAAGAAAAATTTTTCGCATAAGTCGATATTATTTTGAGTTTGGTGGAAAACGACATTATACCATCTTTCAACGTTCAACATTTTCACTATTTTAACATATTCTCAACAAATAGGTCAATTGAAGAAATATTTCATCGAAAATAATCGACATGAATAATTTGTATTCGTCAAAAATCTAGAGTGTGAGTGTGAATGTGGATGTTGTCCTGGGCTTGAATGTCGAAAGTCTGGAGACAACAACATTAAAATCAACCACACCCACCTACACAACCTAAAATTCGATACTGAAATAGTGAGATCTCATGATGAACTTCTTGATCAATTCAAAAGTTAGAAAATCAAATTCTTTATCATTGGATCTTTTCGATCAAATTGAACGATGATAAAAACCACAATCAGTAAAGTAAAAAATACTAGTAGAAGAGCTCAACATGAACTTATCGAGCTAATCGACAAACAATAAATAACAATAATAAAACAACTTGAACCAATCACAAAAGAAATTCACTGTTTTCGAGAAGAACAAAATTTTACTGAAGATGATATTGATGAGCTTAGGCAAAAAGTCAAGGAAATCTAACAAAAACTTGAACAATTTATTGGAAAAGATACAACGAAAACAATCATTGTTGAGAATAATTAAATTGATTTGAATCGACTCATCTACATCCAAGAACAACAAAAGTGAATATTTTGAACTAAAATTATAGAAGGAAAGAAATTCTCCAACAGTTCAACCGAATATCGTTCGTCATTGAATCACATTTTCTCTTTTCATTAATTCATCTAAATTAATTCCTTCATAAATGAGAATGACTTGGTGAAACACCGTGTGTAAGAAAATTGAATAAAATACCGTTCGAAACTTATAGTTTTGACACAACTGAAAATTTTTTCATTCAAAATAAAACATTTAACTTTCTGAAATTTCATGTCTATGGTGTGGATGTGAGTCTGGGTGTGATAAGATAAATGACTAATTCGAAATCTCACACATCCGCACAGACACTAGTCCACATTTTGCTCATAATCAATCATCATGGGAAAAGAACGATCGTCTTGTAAAGGTTTCACACATTGTGTATGTTGTGCTAGTATAGTGAAGCCTGAGGAAATACGTAAGTTCCACATTTTAGTCCCAAAGAGGCTGCGCTAACAAACTTTTCGTTGTATTTTATTTTATTCTGTTTTATTTATATTTTACTATTATTTTAAATTTATAATTCAACAATTGAATTTAATAAAATGTTAAAATAAAATAGATTTAAGGTGTTAATTTGCAACTAGTTTCATGATCAGAAGAAGAGAGGGATGAGAACGGATGGGGGCTAACACAAGATCTGATGTTTAGATATAAATTTCACAGGATTCCATCAGAATTGATACCTCACAACTTCCTATCGGAATTCGATATCAAAGATTCCAACAATTTTCGACAGGGATTCTGTCGGAAATTACCAAATTCTCCGTCGAAATTTATCGGATTACACATGATGTCCTACAGTGTCCGATGGGATCCGAGTTCGAGATTTCTCGCCCTAAGTATGTGAGTTCCACAAAAAAATCCTTCGTTATACTAATCAACATAAAAGCGACCTGATAGTTTTAGATCTGTCTTACAGATAATACTAAAACAAGAGACTGAATATTTATCCTAAATTTCGTAAAAAAAATGGATAAATGTAAGTTATGTAATTGTAATGATTTTCCTTTATTAATTGAAAAGAAAAAAAAACATCGATCATTTACATTCGTTCATTTCAATTTCTTTCTATAGTACTTCCTCATACTTTTCCTACTTTCAAAAGTACTTAACAGTACTTTTTAGTCAAAAAGTATGAAAAGTACTTAAAAAGGTTCACTTATAAGTACTTGGCCCTGCTTAAAACCTACTATTGAAAGTACTTAATAGTCACTTTTTTGAATAAAATTTTTTACATGGGTAGTTCATGGAATAAACTCACATTGTCAATATGATAGCTAAATGCATTAGATAAATGAACTAGTTTTACTGTTCATCTTATTATGATAGAAAAAGCTAGAATGTCAAAAATATCGGTAAATTTATTAAATCAAATAAGTTACTTTTTGATCTTTTATCATAGAATGATTTAAAGTAGAACTTCATTTTTAAATTTTATTTTGAAATAAATCTTATATTTTCTATTTTAGAAGATGATTGTAGAAACAAGTGATGAATCTGCTGCTCATGAGAAACTCTTGAGAATACGACAACAAAGAAGATCATATACGAAAGTTTAGAATAATCTCATTTCTGGTTATAAATTTTGAGAAAACATTTTTCAAATGTTCATTGTTATGTCTTGTTATATTTCTCTGTACAAATTTTTAAACATATTGAAAATGTTTTTTTTAAACTGTACATAATCAAATAAATAAATAAAAGACAACTTTGTTGAAAACATTATCTGTGAAGCTGTATTTTGCATTTCTTGAAAATATTCAGT